CCTCTAATAGGCTCTGTGAACGGACCAAGGTGAATGGTTTGTCACAGGTTCGATCGGCGATACATCAAGTGACTGCACCATTCCACATTTAGCTCGAGGTCTGCATGTCGTTACCGTGTCCCTCGCTGTAGCAGACCTCTCATGAGATCCGGCATCGTAAATGAAGAATCCAGCGGATAAATTCAAGCCTGTATAGGCAATATTGGGGATGAGAGAGGGAAATTTACCATTATTCTCCGTGCCATAATCGCCATCCACTCCTGAATAAAATGATCGCCTGGGTTCCCTCTCCGCATGATCTTTCCTTCGAAGCTCTGTTGAAGGATTGCATTATTATCCGCACATGGCTCCCCGTCTGAAACAGGTTCCGAATCGGACGAATCAGAATAATCATCCGATTCACTGCAGTCGCTACTATCTGAATCGTCCAGCACCGTGCGATCATGTACTCTATCAAAACCTGAATTTGTGGTGAAAATGTATGCATTCTCATGTACAAATTTTGTGCATTAACCGTTCATGATGAACGGAAACTTACTGGCTTCATCTCCACTGGAATCGGGCTCGACAGCTAGAGAGTCCTCAGGCAGTATGCTCTGCGACATGTCATTATAAAAAGGGGGCAATTACTCGTGCCTCTGCTGGAAGTTGTCGTTTACGGGGGCCAGCCGTAGCGCGAACCATATCCACGAGGGCGCGACGGCGTCGATTGTGGTCTTCACCCACTTCGAGTGCGGTGTTGGTTGTTAATCTGAGAGCAGAAAAGCGTTAGATACGCTCCACAAAGAGAAGGTTAATAACCTTAGGTTATTCACTTTGGTCGAACAGTGGGAGCAGATGCTAATTGCTGGACCTTCTCCAAGCTTTCTTCTGAAGGTATTCTCGAGTAAGCGAATTCCGACACTACTGTATGTCGGCAATTGGCTAATCTCAAGTCGCAACACGCGCAGGAATAACCGCCCTCTGTACGTGGAACGACCCGGATTTGTTTCATTGCTCTTTTGTAGGATTCCCAGCTTCCCCATACTGCAGAATCCTGGGAGCATTTTGTCCACTAGGCCTTCGCGACGGAGGGGCGGAGCCCACTGAGTCCACATCCATGGACTCAATCATTGCATTTTACATAGGTCCCCGGTTCGATCCCCGGATATGACATTTCTCGATCATTGAAGTTTTTCGTGCATATCTCTCCGAGCTGTTCGCATAAGCTAGTTTTCCGATTTTTCCCAACACCTCCGCATATTGAAGAGTTGTTTGATCTATGTATAATCTGCGGGATTCTCGCTTGGCCATCCCAATGTCGCGCCCGTCTTGGTGAGTCCTCATGGTCTAGCTTGAGGAAAACGAATACAGCCTGCTCAGAGAAATATCCCGACCTGAATTCTATCTTACTTTTCTCCCCCCTCGGGTGATGCTGCTTGCTCCATCGGCTAGCAGAACCCTTGGCTCATGATGAACACCCAATGACCGGGCTGCTTCTTTTATTGCATTTCTCGAAGAGCGACTCGGTTGATGTGCTGTCCTCGTTCAGGACGTAGCAAATACTCAGCAGTCCGAACCGCGAAGGTAGACGTAAACATTCACAGACTATTACAACAGGGTCCAGCCAGGCCAGTTCATGACTCTTGAGGAACCTTGAGGAATCACAGTAGCCTATACAGTACGGTTGGTCGTCGTCGAATGGATTGCCGCTATTCTGCTCACATAACTCCTCAATTTCCAACAGATTGTCACCAGATTGTACGCGATCGTCGCTCCGCAGATTTAGTTTAACTGTGTATCATCATTTCAAGGTTTGCTGTTTCACAGCCGGTGTAAGCTTCTTGATCAGCTTCAGTTTGATAAGCTTTCTCTCAGTGCGACAAGCTAGAGTACCATCAAGGGCATGATCATCGATTATCCTCCTGCCTTCTTGACTAAGGGGTATAGGTCTCCATGAGAAGGGCTGATTGCTGGTTGCAGTGTCAAGTCTCGTGTGTTCCTCGTGTTCTGCATACGGGAGTAGGATCTTATAGATACCACGAGATGACCAGGATATCTGGGCGGTATAACTACACGAAGCGTATCCTCTACGCTTTTTGAAGGCACAGCGACAGTCTCTAGTGACATCGATCGCCTTCTTCCTTACATACGAGTTACGCTTACCCATCTTACAGACAACAATCTTATCAAGGCTGACCCCAGCATCTGACAACTCATTACATTGAAGAATCTCGACAACCTGATACTTCACCGCAGGAGTACGTCCTTTCTTCTGAACTTGACGGTGATGAGGATCATCGGCCCCCATAACCTCCATCTCCGTGTTTAACAAAGAAGTAGCCGAGGAACTAGCCTCTGAAGCCACGTTAGCACGAGTGCTGCTACTCGATTCTGTACCGAACGCACGTTCGGCCACACCCGCCATAGCTTTCATGAAGGCTTTGGATTTCTCACGGTCCTTACTCCCAGACATTACAAGTACGATGCAAAATAACCTTCATCCTTATATTCCCCATTGATGTACTGAACTTCTGCGTCCTTGGCTTTGAGCCTTGTAGTCCGCACTCATCGTTCCTTACAATCCAAGGATACGAGTGACCCTGCCGCCAGACCCAACACGTAGCTGTGCTCGTTGATCGGCGATGACCGAGACCACGCAGCCCGTCGCAGCTGCGGGTCGGGTTGATACTACGAAATTCGCATCTCTCGCAACGTCCCCATGGGCCTGTGTCTCGGCAGAATTGAAGGTGATAAATATTACCGTACTCATCTGCCCAATACTTTATTTTAGGGTTAGCAGACGCAGTGTCGCGGGAATAAAACCCGAGGGGACGGAGGGAGTGTCCCCCCGCCCCTCTGCAGCCAATTATTACGCAAATAGTAGATTCCTTCAGGGACGTGCGCGTGCGTGCAAAACAACACCGTCATAAGCCACTGCCCTCATGTGCAAGGCACAGCACAGTGGCTTGATTTAACAGCCTCAACTACGGTAAGTCTCCCATCCAGGATTGATCGGGAACAGCACACCGATAATCCAGTAAGAGAACACAGACCTGTGTTCCCAAAAACTCCGAACCCGAAACCTGTACGTCGGTCAGAATTCGAATGAGTTTTGCGATTCACAGGATTTGTAGTTTTTACTGGTAACGCCAGATCACGAGAGGCTGACCAAAGCATGAATGCTTTCCGTAGAACGTATATGATTGAGCAATCCACGAGACCCAACCCGGGAGAGGAGGGTGGGCCGAAAGTTGACGATGCGTCACTTACTGCGAGAGTCAAGTTTCATCATTTTGTACATATTGAAGCACGGTACACGATTCGTTATCATTGCCGCGCATTCTTATCATATGAAACTCTTGTGCGCACTCCGATTGTGTGCGTTGTGTGGCTGATAACTAACCTTGCCTACTTCGTACACTCCAATTAGCAATATGCTGCGGTGTAGAGTGATGTGGTACAGCCAAGGAACCTTATGGTTTCCCAACCCTCCGGACCCGGGAGATGTGTGACCGTTTTGGTACCTTCCCACATCAATCAAGTCGCGGTAGCGGAGCGCCAACAATGCGCTAGCTCCCGGTTCCGTGTTGGTGCTTCTCTACGCTTACGCCATTCCTCAACCACACTCCCTTGTCAGAAGGGTTCCGCATTCCCACGTATCGATATTGTGTATAAGATCACTAATGATGTCCTCTTCTCTCGAGAAATATTTGAATATTTTTTGTGCACGATCCCATATGCAAGGAGGTTCGCCCACTGCTGAACGGAAGAACGGATTTGTTCAAGGAGTGGTGAGGGTCTCCCGCAGTATCCCACTATGGTGGAAATGCATTTTTCTAGATGGAGTACATAGTGAGAAGGACCCCGTAGAACATTATGCTTGAAGTGAACATGTCCACGTATATCGTAAGCCCCAACACGAATCGGATTCAGTTAATTGCCAGAACGCAACAACCTTGAGGAAGGTTGGAAAAGAACGAACGAGAGCGAACGAAGGAAGGAAGGCGAGGCAGGAAGACGTTACGTCACTGCGGACGTCACGTCACGCGGATTCACGTGTCTCGCAGACGTGCGCTATTCTTCATGGCGAGCGCGATACGATCGCGTGCTTGGTGATGGTTTGAGGTCCTTGAGGTCGAATTTACCAGGCATACCAACGAGGCTGTAAGTCTTCTTCCCTAGACTTCAGCTATGGTTGCGGGTATCCATCGTCGCGAGAGCTTGTTTGTCGGTCTCATGACTCGCAGGAGCACAGGACTATCAACCAGGAAACCAGGACCCCAGGTCTCTCGCGGGTCTTTAAACAGGAGATCATATTCCGGACGCGTTTGAACTGGACGAAAACGGTCGCAGTTGGCCGGAAAAGTGAAAACCTTATCATGCGCACTCTTTCCACCTCGGAGAGGAGTAGTGTTGAACATGCGCAAAAACTCAGCAACAGTGCGATGGAAGACGCCATAGGCTATTTGGTCGCAGCGAACGTGCGAACGCAAATATTCTTCCATCGTGCGATGAAGACGTTCGATACGTCCGTTGCTGAGAGACGTGTTCTTTGCCGTAATTTGCGGAAGAATGTCGAACCCCATCAAGAAATCCGTGACCTGCCCTGACACTGGATTCGAACCTCCGTCGGTACACAGCACCAAGCGGTGTGTGTGGAAAGTTGCAAAAATGTGAGACAGGAGGTCGATCACATCCTTGCCAACGGGTGTTGATCTGACAGGCTTACCAAGGGCATAACCGTTTGCGTTACAGATGCAGGTGATCACGTAAAACTGAAGGCGATCGTTAACTTTACGGAAAGGGCCGACTATATCGAGGTGTAGCTTATTGAAAGGCACGGCAGATCTTCGCGTGTCAGCAATCTCTGCTGGGGCTCTGCTACGTTTACGCCCAATTCCGTCACTGTCTACCTGGAGACCATCCGAGCTTTGATGTGGGTGCACTTTACTTGCACGACACGTCGCACACTGTCGGATCGTACGTCGGCATTGTGCTCGTAGCCCAGGAGCGCGAACTCATCCTCGCAATCTGTTGAACAGACCTTCAGAGCCTTCGTGATGATCGTTGTGTACCTCAGTAAGGAACTCAATCAGGTGAGAGTCAGGAATGTACAATCCGTCTTCATTGGCTTGAGAAGCTTCGCGCCACGACTCCTCCTGATCCGCAAGAATAGCCGGAGCAGCCAACTGTGGAGCGGGTGATCGACGGGAAGGTTTTTTCCAACGGAGGTATGTGGGAAGTCGTGTGAGATGATCGGCCGGATTCCTCTCACTCTCCACGTAATGATAAGACACTGACAAGCCTGAGACCTCGAAGGTATCTTCAATCATCTGAAGTCGTGCCTCAGCAGAACCGACCGTGAGACCCTCGCTGGAATGCCAGTGAGACGCTAACTTCCGTTGGAGTTGTTCGAGTACAGGTCGATTGTCGGTATAGACCTCAATCGACTGCCTTCCCGTCATGCCTAGGGTTCGGCGCCAAGAAAGAACTAGAGTATTGAGCCCTTTTAAGGCTGCTTCTAGTTCGACCACGTCGATCAGCCGGATGTCTCCGAGTTTTCGTAGCCAGGAGACATCCTCGACGTAGGTAGAGCCGAAATATAGGCAGGCCCCTAAGCTCAGGTCAGAGGCATCGCAATACAATCGCCATGTGGACCCAGCATCGACGGTAACTTTACCAGTAGCTGGATCACCACGGGAGAAGATATCACGATGTAGTGCCTCGCATTTCCGCAGAATGTTCTGCGAAAGGAGTAAGGACTTGGATGCAGAAGGGTTCTCGAGGTGACCAATCCGTTCCAACCCGCGAGCCGCTGGCCGTAACCATCGCAAAACCGGGTAGTGTGAACACGCTAAGGTCGCTACCCACGATTTGAGATGGTGGTAAGTTTCTCCCTGTATGGGACCGAGCGGACTGCGGCGAGTCCAAATGTTGCCTGGAATACGTTGCAAACCGAGAATACCAGATGTCTCGGCCTCCTCGGGCTCTTTCAGGCTGAACCCATTCTGGTTGAGAGCCTTGACGACATTATCCACCTGGGATTTGGGCACGCGCAAGTCATCGAAATAAGGCTCGACACCTCCGTCAATTCCAGCTTCTTCTAGAATGAAGTCAATGACGGAGCGGAGGACCTTTGGAGCAATTGACACACCAAACGCAAGGCGGGTCAACTCCCCGTATGTGCGATTACCCTCGTCCTCAATCAGGGTGATACCCTGATAAATGGAGCACTCAGGGTGCATATGAATAAACATATATGCTTTTTTGATATCCATGAGTACCCACGATTTGGTGAGTCGTCCGGCATTGGAGTAGCCTGCTCGCCATCGGCGTAAGCTTGCTCTACAGGTAACGTGTTCAGTCTCCTTCGGATACGACACCAAACAAGAATTAACTGGCTTGAAGTCGAGAACAGGTCTTACTGGAGTAGACGATTTGTGGAGTTGTGAGATTGAGATCAAGGTGATGGAAGAGCGGAGCTCTTCACGGCTCATCTGGCGAATAAAACCCCAGTCTTGCCACAGTTTGAGTTCCGCTCTTCAGAGCTTGTACACCTCTAGAGAAAACTGATCAAACTGGGCTTTGTACACCGCAGGACGGAATCTAGCTGCGCGTTGTGCAGCTTCGGGGCTCTTCCATACCCACGTGCATTGCCAGTACTGTGATCCATCAGGACGACGGAAACGTACGACAGTAAAATCCTTGCGGATGATTCCCGCGGTCATTGTGTGGGATGGAGGGGATGTAAGTGCGCTACCACTGATGGAAGGGTGTGGTGGGCAGGTCAGTGAAAGGCGAGTCACGGGAGACTCTGGGAAAACTGCAGTCACAGAAACGCCGTGCGTGTTTGAACATGTGGTTGTGAGAAGGTTAGTCCCGAATGTTGCGATGAAATCACAACCAAGGATACCATCGATAGTCTTTCCGCAGTTGGGAAGAGAGTTTGGTTGGCCTCTGAAGTTACATTCACAACCAAACACACCGCAAAAATACGCAAACAAGTGCGGAATGGAGTGGTGAATGAAGTAGTCAAAGAACAGTAAACAGTCTCTTGTGGGATTAGAGTTAAGCCGGACTCATCAGCGTACCGCTTACTAATCAAGGATTGTTGCGCACCTGAATCCACAAGGAAGTAACGGCCGTTGCATTTCACCAGTGGAAGGCCTACCTGGCAAGTCGTCACTGGGGGAGCTGTCGAGTTTAGCCGACTCGAGGCAGACTCCGTGGACCGCCCCAGGAGCGAGCTGACGGTGGCATAGGCTCCATCGGTAACACTAAGGGTCAGCAAGCAGAGAGTAGTTTCGTCGGACAGGCGAAGCCCGGTAGCAATGATGTTGAGCTTGTCCAAGGACTCCTCAACATCAGTCTGTCCCTTGGAGGAGCCGTTCCAGTTGAAAGCGTATCTCTTGACACTACCAGCTTGATGATGATCTGGGCCGACCAATGACTGGCCGTACTGCGTAGCTGCGACCGCGGCTGAAAACCCCTGACTACCCGGAGTCGGAACGCTGGCGTGCTTGCCTAGCGATGGGGACGGCGGTGGTGGAGGCGACCGTCGACGAGGGATATCGAGTGTCAGCGGAGCAGGCCTGGAGGGACCAGGTAGAACTGCTGCAGGGCTGCAAAACCCGGACGAGCCGGTGAGCGAGCCGTAGAGGATAAGGCGGATGCGCCGTGAGTGTGGACACCAGGGGGCAACTGAGCTCCCGCTGTAGCCGCCACTGTAGGAGGCTCATCACGTCTAGCACTTGCAGCTGAGTCATCCTCATGTTGAGGAGAGGCCTGGCCATGCGGAGAAAACATGTTCTGGATCCTGGGTTTGGGCACCAGTTAATTGCCAAAACGCAACAACCTTGAGGAAGGTTGGAAAAAGCGAATGAGAGCGAACGAAGGAAGGCGAGGCAGGAAAAGACGTCACGTCACCGCGGACGTCACGTCACGCGGATTCACGTGTCTCGCAATGTGCGCTATTCTTCATGGCGAGCGCGATATGATCGCGTGCTTGGTGGTGTACCACTGATTCACACTGTGAATCGTCTGAGCCATTGTGAACTTCACAATGAGTCAGAGGTGTTTGTGAGGGTCCAACAGATGACAACGTGATGAAGTTCAACTTCCTCACGCTACTCGACAGCCTGTCGACGACAGGGCCTTTGACAAGGATCATTCAGAGCCCTGTCCCAGCTCGGGAGATGAACACCAGAGTGGTCGGCCAGACGTAGATCATGTGGTTACGCTATCTTCAGAAGCCCGAAAGATGAGAGACTGTCATTTCCACCTATCACGGAAGACCTTTCACCTGAGAGGCAAATACGAATAGTGTCTTCTGGCCACACTTTTCTGGCTGGAAAGGTTTTTTAGACTAACGATGACCTTCTTCTTGTCTATGAATATGAGCTTTTTGATTACCATAGAACTGTTGTACAAATGTATTCTACCTCTGATGGTATTCTGAGGATAGGACGCCCCCCCACAGATCCCTGCCACCGTTGCTGTCGACCCAAAAAGAAGATCTGTTCTGAAGCTGAAGAGTTCTACTCAGCTTCCTGGTGATTTTTTGAAGAAGGTGTCTGGTTTATAGCCGCCACCTCGGGAGACCGGGATGTAAAGATTCCATTACTACTCGTTCTGTCGAGAGGACAAGTTGGGAAATTCGCCGACGACTTCAGAGATTAGGATTATCCGTAATCAACAACGAAGAACATTGTCCGGTTTGCGGATCTTGCTCCACAGATCAAGCACATGATCCAGATCACTCGTTGATTTTGATGTCTGAGCCAAATGCATCGTGATCAGAGATGCGTGAGTCAGGTCTGTGATTCTTGATCTCGATCCGTGATCTTTGATCCGGATCCGTGCCTGTTGACCTTGATCCCCGAACTTTGATACTCAAGACTCGTTCTCTCAATCCGAGTGACATCTGTCCGTCAACCGGACAGTTGTTTGGGAGTGCGAGAGAGGACCAAACACTGTGAACCCGAGACTTGAACCCTCTCCGGGTCTTACCTTGGGCCAAAGGTTCACAGATCATGTTTGGTCACACTAACTATGTCACGGGGTATGGCCCATGTTTCCTGACATATGTTAGTGTCCCCAAACTCAATCACAAAACAACGATGAGTCACCTACTTGAAATGATGTCCTCACTGTCGGATGGAGGAGGCATGTCCGATGGTTCAACAGAACCTCCTCACAACAACCTTCAACAGAACCTCCTCAACAGAACCAGAAGACTCCTTCTACTAGTAAAAATTCTCCGAGGTAACATCCTCATCAATGAGAGACACTCACATCAAGTTAACATTACAGTTATGGAATGCAGGAAGTTACTCTTCACGTTCCGACAGCTAGGTTATCGTTCGAAACCGAACTCAACGGAAGACCATGTGAAAGAGCACTACCACAAGCGTCCAAGAGTCATGCAGCGTCCAAAATTTGCTCAACATGGCTCCGACACTTCTTCTTCACGGATTCATTCACGTAGCTCATGCATTAGGCTTCGTAGGCTGTGCATCGTAACTTCATCCAGTTTCCATTCGACGACATACTGCGGTAACTTCTTGGTTAGGAATTTCCCTTGCCCTCCCGGGTAGATCATCGTACTCAATCCAGGGAATACCCTTTGGCTCGTTGAAGTTTCCTTGCGCAGCATCTTGGTAATATTGTGAGCCACACAAGGCACTTTGTTGCAAAAACAACTCGCTGAGCATAGAGCCTCACGTTCCTTATGGAAGGAAGTTTCGTTGTTGTAGAAATCAAGACGCACTTGAGAACTCCCTGGTGTTTTTCCCCAACGTCTGCCACACGGAGTGCTGCCACCTTTTTGAACCGGAGCAAAGTACCGCCCAATGAGCTGCTGATCTTATCTTATCTTGTAACCTCGCGAATAGCAGAGGCATATGAGCTAACGCTTTCGGACACTCGCTCGAGAGCACTGCCGTTCTCTTTATTAAACGTTCAAGAGAGCTCAGTGGATTATCCGCTCTTTGCCAAACCCTATCTAAGATTTGGCTCTCTCCACGAGAAACCACTCGTCCAAGGCGAACCTGGGCATTCGATCTCACGGCAGAAGTATATTTACGGATAGTAGATGAGTGAATCTTCGCTGAGGCCGTTCAACCACTCATAAAAGCGACAAGGTTGTTGACTTTGGCACGATTCGTCGCAAATATAGGACCGAATCCGGCTTCGTAGTAGCTCTCAGATGTTTGGTATTGCTGTGATGCAGAACCTTTCAGACTCTGGAGCTGAAGACTGTGACAGAAATTCCAAATTTTCCTTCTAGTTCTCTTCAGCAGATTTGCCCTGTACTCAGCTGTAGGACCCCTCAAGATACGATCGAATCCTTGACAGGTCCCGAGGCATGTTTTGGAGAAGAAGGCGTAAGGAAAATGTAACAAAAATTCCACTAATGTACCAAGAGATTGACAACACGGTCTGTTTACATAACCTCAGAAACGTCTGCTCACCAGAGAGATGCTCAAACCAGAGTCGTCCCTGAGGCGTCACTACGACCCGGCGCCACTTAGCAGGAGTGGTTTTCATGATCTCCGAACGACGACTGATAAAATCTGCAGGGCTATTGAAACTTCCACGCACATGTTGAGAGCGTACGTGAAGACCAGTGGACCCCAACCCCCAAAGGCGTTCTCAAAGCTTGAGACTTCGAAAACCAAGAAGCAAGAGCCGGAACTGCTGCTGTGTTATTACACAAAATCGAAACTGAAATAGGGGAATTCTTGAGTCGAACACTGAACGTCAACTCTGGCTCCAGTGATCCTCTAACCATTTACACTTAACCAGGGGACCTTTGATAGAGTTAGTCGACTAGGTGGTGTGGAGAGGACCGAAGACTTGCAGGGCTCCCCCCTGAAGCTTCGGTCACGGGACAGGTGCCCGACTAGGTGGTGTCGTATCAACGACTCACGTCTCACACGGGTCTGTCCCGTCACCCAGTCCACTAAGAAAAAAAAAACTGTCAGTTACTAATAACTTTCCTCCGGAATCCTCGGATTATTGAAGCACCTGCGAGCGACCAAGCTCGCTCGCCCATCGAATCACTTCCTCTGGAGTTGACCCTAGCCTCTGGCGAGACTTTCCATCAACTCTGGCTCCAGTGATCCTCTAACCATTTACACTTAACCAGGGGAACTTTGATAGAGTTAGTCGACTAGGTGGTGTGGAGAGGACCGAAGACTTGCAGGGCTCCCCCCTGAAGCTTCGGTCACGGGACAGGTGCCCGACTAGGTGGTGTCGTATCAACGACTCACGTCTCACACGGGTCTGTCCCGTCACCCAAATCTCTCCACTATCCACCGAACTCTTGGCTTTACCAGAAACTTCGATGACACAATCGATTCATGTTTTTTTTATCCCCTCCTCTCGCTGTAGTCTTTATTACCTATTGACTATTTTTTTTTCTTCTTCTGTTGTGTCCCTCGTGCAGCGCATCAAGGCTCCTTTGGCGTAGCCTTGCCAGGCTCTACTCGATTGACTCGAACCGCCTTCACACTTCACTGTGCTATCCTCGCATCCCGAATCTACCAGAATTGTGGCTCCACTATGCTATAGCTATGTCAGCTATAGGATTTATACCTGTTAGGGCTTTAACTGCCTCGTCCGGTAGAACTCCTGCATTTCCCGGAGGCTTGGATCTATGCGCTAAACGATTTTGGCCTCCTTTAATTCCTCTCTCAACGATGGTCATCTCTTCTAGGGTGAAACTTACTCATGAACGCACCTCCATAGTCGTCTTTATCGCGCTAACATACTCCCGCAATGCTTCTGGAGAGATATTGGCTTGGTCAACGAGGACCCGACTGTAATTATAACGCGATCACAGTATCTGCTTCTCTTGACGTCTTGTCATATCTCAGTGTGGCATCGTGTGGCGCTGAGTGAGCTAAATTGTCCCTCTAGCGCTAGGCGTTGATTATGCTCTTTGTAATCGTAAGTTTGAGCAAGTATCAGCATCTGTTGGTATTGTTAGCATCTACCTCAAGTACCTATATCTATGTCGAACCAGAGTAGCGTTCTCAATGAAGTGAGTGATCACAATTTGGGGGCTGGGCCGAGAAGTGTTACTCCTGGTTCGCATCCTGGTACTGGTATGTCGAGTTCTGGTTTGGTTAGTGGTGCTACGTCCAGTGAGCTGCAGCGTTTGGCTACTTATATGGGTATTAGTTTGGACCTGGTCGATCAGTTGCGTATGACCGATTTAGACAGTGTCCATGCCCGTGATGCCACTATCAGCTGGGCAGATAAGTTAACTCACCGGCGTGCCCTGGAGCAGGCTTTATCGGCAAAGACTGCTGGGGGCAAGAAGAGTACTGATGCTACTACTACTGCTGTTGTTGAAACAAAGGGTAGTAAAACCCTCGATATTCCCAAGCTCATCTCCCGGGCTAAGGATGCCGGGAAGGTTAGTGGAGGTATTTTTAAAGGATCTCAAGATACAAGATCGGTTGCTGTGTTCTTAGATGAGATCGACTCCACTGACGAATATGCTTGTGGTACTGCTGCTTTCAAATATTTCTATCTTCGTGCCAATTTGGACGAAGACATTCGTGGTTATGTTAATAAAGAAGTGAAGGCTAAGGTCAACAAGGAAGGTGTGTCTGCTGAGAATTGGACACGAAAATTGTCGTTGCTAAGGTCTATACTTCTGGATGAGTATACTATGCTCTCTTCAGATTTGGCTACTCAGTTAGAATGGGACAAGTTGGTGTATACATCCGGCTCATCGAGGATGGAGTCTCATTTAACTAAGCTGCTCACTTTGGCAGATAGAATCTCTATGTCGAGAGGTAGTCAAGTTTCTGATCGTGAATTGCGATCTAAACTATATGCATCCTTACCTACTGCTACACAGCGCTGGATCGACTCGTTAGGATCGTCAACGGTGGAATCTTATGCAGCTATGAGGAGAGAAGTTCGTCGCTGGGCTCAATATAATGAGAAGCCGGTAGGATCGTCCCGCAGAAGTACTTCGGTTCCGCGAGGTGGCAAGAAGGTTCAGGTATCTGTCGCTAACACCATGGAGAATAGTGATGACGTTGGTCTTTCCATAGCCCTGGGTGACATGGATAAGGATGCCTGTGGGCGTTGTGGTCTAAAAGGGCATAGAGCTTTCGAATGTCGGGGTAACGTGTACCAATCCGATAAGCGATGTTGTCGGTGTGGTTCCTTTGACCATGCTCTCTCTCAATGCCCTCTCAGCCCTACAACTATATGCGGACGATGTAAGCAGCCGGGACACTACTCTGCTACATGTAATGCTGAGTTACCTGTTAAGAGGTTTAATCCGAGAAATGGTAGAGGTTCGAGGACTCCGACTTTGATGGTGGCTAATTCTGAAGGTGATGGGAATGATGTTCATCCTCCTACGATTGTGCAAGATACTGCTAAACGGGAAGTTGTCGACTCTGCTTCGGTGCCTGTAATGCAAGTGGATCTGTTGACCATGAATAGCAGTCTCCATGACCAGGACCCTCTTGAGGTGAAAATAGTCCCTCCAGCTCAGCTGTCTGCCGATGTGGCAGGTAGAGAAGTCAAATTTCTTATTGATAGTGGGGCGGGTCTTAATTTTATTAATGAAGCCTTGGCGACTGAGCTCTCCGCTTTGAGTAATCAGCCTTTTAGGCCACTTGCACGTGAGCTAAGGGTGGTCTTTGGCAATGACCACAAGGTATTGGTGTCCCGAGGATTGGAATTACCCCTATCGGTAATCCGACATGGGAAGAAGGAATGTGTTCTGGTGAGCTTCGTCATCATGCCTAATCTTAATCCTTCTGCTCTGATAGGAAGGCCAGGGATATGTGACCTAGCTTTGTCCGTGCATGGTTTTGTACCTACTCAGACAGCTAGCGAGGTGGCTGTCTGTAGCATTGATCCGGTGGAGACTATTGAGGTGGCTGGTAAAGGAAAACGGCTATTGGCCCATTGTCCTAGGTTGGAGGAGTCTAGACCGGAACTTCATGTAGAACCCCAACGTCGTCGGCCTGATCGCGAGAGAAAAGCTATTTATAGGTTGTTGTGCCTTATGGAAAAGGAGGAAAAGGTGGTGCGATTACAACCTGGACAAGCATGGACTATTAATGAGGTTGTCTTAGTGGCGAAGAAAGGTGCAGAGTCGTGGAAATGCTTGCCTGGTATTTTGGATAGAGAAGATGATGAGCAATTGTTGGCTCATTTCAGGGTTACTTTAGACCTGCGCTTTACGAATAAGATCGGTGCGACTACGCCTACTTTGGAGACCGAAAATGAAAGTAAGCTCTCTCAGTATGGCGTTCATGATCTGATTGGATCTCTTCCTAGTCATCATGGTGCCTTCTTTGGTCGTATTGATTTGCGGGATGCATTTCATGGGGTATATATTTCCAAGAAGATGCAACAACATATGGCTACCCGAGTGCTCAATGACCAAGGTGTTGAGGTGATTTTTGCTTGGAATAGATTGCCTATGGGCTATAAGCAATCTTCAGGATTGTTTGGCCGCTCGGTGGAATTGATGCTTATTGAAGCTCGTGAGGCTTTGAGGAAGCTAAATATTGACTGTAGTCTTCGTAGCCTTCAAGATGATTGTATAGTAGCCGGACCTACGGCATCGGCCGTTAATGAAGCTTTGGATGTTCTCATACGAGTAGTACGAAGCTATGGTTTTGAATGTCGGAATTCCAAGGTTCAGCGGGCTACTGATCATTTGGTTTTCTGTGGCCATCAGATTTCTGGGCGTGAGAGTGGGCTGCCTCTGCTTACTCCCTGTCCACAGCGACGAGATTTATCTTCAGCTGGTTTCGAAGCTGAATGGGAGATCTTCATCAAGAAGTGTAAGTCCTCATCTGCTAAGCTCAAGTTCTTGAGAAAGTGGGCTGGTGTATTCCAGTGGTTCAGTCATTGGTTGGGTGGCTTGGAACAAGATGCTCTCCGCTGTCTCAATAAGGCTGTGAAGTGTCTGCAGAATAATGATGCTGTGGACGATGAGCAGTGGGAAAAGGTGTCTGTTGCTTGGCATACGTTGGCTCAGAGTTTTATGAGTGGCTTAGCATCTTTGTATTTGGGTCATTGTATTGCTACGTTGATTGTTACTGACTCTAATGTAGAATCATGGTATGGCGCTATTTTGGGAGTGGTGACTTTGGACTCTGATAATGCTTGTCCAGCTCTGTTTCCGGAACTTGAGGAACGACTTTATGATATAAGTCCTTGTGATGATCTTTTTCCTATGCCTCCTACTGGGAAAATCTTTAGAGTTCTTCCAGTTCGGCTTTGTGGTGGAGTATGGAAGAAGAGGGAGCAACTGAGAAGTTCGACGTGGAGAGAACGAGGAGCTCAGCTGCAGTGTGTATCTGAGAACCTTGATGCTCTGCGTGGAGACCATGTTATTAGTTTGAATGATAATGCTAATCTTTGTAAGACTTGGCGAGATGTTCAGGGTGACTTTGGCTATGCTTCTGAACCGTATGCTGGCGTGTGGATTAAGCGTTGGGAGCTTTTCGAAGCTTATGTTGATAAATGTGTATGGTTGCCTCGTGAGGTGGATGCTCTTTGTTGGACAGATATGTCTGCCCGAAAGTTGGCTGCTGGTGATTCTGCTGATGGTATGATCGGTGAGGTGGAGATTGCGCCTGTTGATGTCAACAATTCCTCCGGACAACTAAATGTGGATGATATGACGAAAGAAGAAGTGAATGATATCTATGGCTGCTCAGTTGTTTCTGACGACAAAATGCATTCTATTTTGGTGACCTTCTCAGGCCAACCCAGTTATGAAGATGCCCTGTCGTGGTTGTCATCGAAGCAAAAGGAAGACGAGCAGTTGGCCAAAATCCGTGTTTCCTGTGAGAAGGAACACAAAGAAAGTCGAGAGTTCTTGGTGGAGAAGGACTGCTTATTTCATCTAGGTCGATGGCGAGCCGATGAACCTGTTATCAAACAAGCTGTGTTGCCTGATTGTGGTGGTCTTCGTTCTACTATTCTGGGGGAGTTTCATGAATATGGAATTCATGGCTCTGCACAGTTGCTGTCCGGTATGGTACAACAAGCTTATTGGTGGCCGACATTGCGCAAAGACTGCAAGGTCTTTGTAAGAAAATGTGAAGTGTGTCAGCGCTCCACCAAATGTGCGTCAGATATCTGTATCTCAAGGTCTGGGCAGCGTTTGCAAGTTCCACTTCCATGGTATTCGGTTGGATCGGACGTCTTTATGCTTGGTAGGGAACTCGAAGCCGAGTTTAATCTGCATTGGACGGCAATGCTAACTATAACATGTGCTTTTACTGGATTCACCGTGCTGGTTCCTCTTCCTCAGCCTGTGGATTCTGCTTGCATTATCAACGCTTATCTCTATGCTTTCAGTCTCTATGGCTATCCGCGGCATTTAAGATGTGATGGAGGAGCAAATCTGGTATCACAGGACGTGAATTCTTGGCTCTTAGCTCATGGAGTGAGTAGTACGGTGGCCGTTGGTTATTCACCATGGACTGGTGGGTATTACGAGCGAAGACATAGGGATCTGGCTGCGACTCTGAGAAAGTTTCTGCTTGATTTAAAGTATGGAACTGGTGCTATGTATGTGAATTCCCCGTATGCTTTAGCTGCTATGTTGCAGGGTCAGCTCAACAGTTATGGCATAGATTGGCGTGGTGCTCGTGATACGACTTCCCAGATGCTTATGACCGGTACTATCCCTAGACCGCCTGCTTCTCTTGATGACATTGCTCCAAGAGATAATTGGTCTTCACAAGGCATCTTTGGCGAGATCAATCTGAAGGAAGCCTCTGGTGAAGATGTAGCTCTTCGAGAAGCTAAGTTGGTTGAAGTGTTGCGTAAACGTGCTACTGATATTCGTAAAAGGAGAGATGAATGCCTTCGTGATTTTAATACGGTGTGGTTGGAGCGTCGTGAGGAGGCTAGGAATCGCTTTGATCAGACCCTTGCTAGAAAGCAAACTAAAGAGTTGCTCAAGATTGGTGATAAGGTTCTGTTAGCTGAACGGTTTCCTAGCAAGTTTGCCCCTCGTTGGTCTAAGCCACGTGAGGTTGTTGCTCTGCGAGGCCTAAGGTGTATTGTGAAGAATGATGATGGAACTCTTAGGGAGCTGCATCTGCGTTACGTGAAGAAGTTTCATAGTGGCGAAGAAGTCCAACCCGTTACGACTTCTAAAAGAGATCGTCCTGATGATATTGAAGATCATGAAGATGGTGATCAAGGTGAGGTTCAGCAAGATGATAAGAGTCCTGCAACCTCTAGCGCGGTGCGTACAAGACCAGTTCGTAAGTGTTCAAGAATGACCAGTTATGCGCATCAACTGTAATCGCGTATTAAGGTGTGCTCGCGTCGTTATTTTTATATACGGCGCGGGGTGGTTTGTAATTATAACGCGATCACAGTATCTGCTTCTCTTGACGTCTTGTCATATCTCAGTGTGGCATCGTGTGGCGCTGAGTGAGCTAAATTGTCCCTCTAGCGCTAGGCGTTGATTATGCTCTTTGTAATCGTAAGTTTGAGCAAGTATCAGCATCTGTTGGTATTGTTAGCATCTACCTCAAGTACCTATATCTATGTCGAACCAGAGTAGCGTTCTCAATGAAGTGAGTGATCACACCGACCATACCTAGGATTTTATCCACCGTAGGCACGTTATTGCCTGCAATCCTACCGTAAAGTTTCTCAAAATGGCTCACCGCCGAGCGGTAGCTCCTCTCCGAACTCTCTTGTGTGGAGTCTGCTAGTAGTGCTGCTCTCCTTGCTTTTCTTTCTGATTCCGTCAACGCTCGGAAGGCCTTCATCGCCTCCTGCTGAGTCGATGATCCACTCCCAGTATCTGCCTTACATTTTTTTGTTTTGGCGATTGAAAAACTGCTAATATCCATCGGAGTCCTCTCATTTGAAACACAACCGGTAGTTTCTGAAGGAACCTAATCCATTGTCTCTCCAAGTTCAATTGCTCCGCCTCTTGCTACGAGCTCCTGAGCAACGAAGGTACTCCCCAGTGGACCTTCAGTGAGGGTACCTCGCTCTTCCCAACTGTTGGTCAGGCAGTTCGTCAGAGATTATGACACTGACACATACACACTTTTGAAACATCACCAGACATCATACACACTTTAGCCAGATAGCCTAAGTACTCCGCTTTACTGGCACCTCTTTGTGGCGATTCGCCACCGGCGAACATTATACCTCCACCGCTACCAGTCAACCACAAAGCACTGAGATGAGCTCACTGAAGCAGGGCGGCTCTCTCGTACCTGGTCGGATCTTCACTTGAACAGACTCGTCGTCTAAGCATTAACTAGTCTGAGACTAGTAGTCTCTGTCGACTCCTGGGTACCTGCTGCATCACATGGTATACGCAGCGCACGAAATACACCCGGATCTGCCAAAAATGCCGAGAGCATAGGAGGGTCTCCCAGTAGGTTATTGGTCACGAGAGCACCATACTTGGTTGTTGATCTCCTCCAGAACTCCCCTCTAACTCTCGTAGGTGGAGCACGTTTCCCGAAATTGAGTCCACCACCTTCTTGACCTCCCCTTTTAAGCGCACCAGCGATACCACCCGGGTCACTTTTGAGTGTCTGTAGCGCTCGCTACTTCAGGAGAGAGCCTCTTGTAGAAAGTCGCCAAGAGCGTGTCATTGGTCAATAATCATTCAAGATCGGTCACCGGGTGACCGTCACCCTGTCGATGTTCTTACCATGGAGTGTGTCGACTGCTCTAGTAGCTAGTTCAATGGCACAGTCGGCTCCTGGTACTCTCATTTCGGCTATGCACGTATCCTACAGCGTGCTAGTTTCGACACAAACTCTGTCGCTGACTCAATCCCACCGAATCCTCATACTGAGGGTTGGATCCGCGCTCGAAGATATTTTTCCTATTTGGGATTCCAAATCCCAAGCCTCTCAGCGAGAGGCTCTCACTAATAATACCGTCAACTGAGTCCTCGCACTGAGGATAGCGTCTGCACTCGAAAATGCGTTCTCGAGCCTCTCGCTAACAACTTTGCCAACTAGACACTCTCACTGGGGATGGGATCAGCTTTGCTGACGCGTTCCTGAACCTCTCACTAGCAATATGGTCAACTAGGCCCTCACCACAAGAATAGGATCTGCGCTCAATGACGCGTTCCTAATCCTCTCATTGACAATAGGCAAACTCGACACTCACACTGAGGATAGGATCTGCGCTCAGTGACGCGTTCCTAATCCTCTGGCTGACAATAGGTCAACTCGACACCGAGGGAAGGATCTGCGCTCGATGACGCGTTCCCAAGCCTCTCACTGACAATAGGCCAACTCGACCCTCACACTGAGGAAAGGATCTGCGCTCGATGACGCGTTCCTAAGCCTCTCACTGACAATAGGCCAACTCGACACTCACACTGAGGAAAGGATCTGCGCTCGATGACGCGTTCCTAAGCCTCTCACTGACAATAGGCCAACTCGACACTCACACTGAGGAAAGGATCTGCGCTCGATGACGCGTTCCTAAGCCTCTCATCTATAACATGGCCGAACCAACATTCACACTGAGGATAGGATCTGCGCTCGATGACGCGTTCCTAAGCCTCTCGTCTATAACATGGCCGAACCAGCACCCACAGTGAGGATAGGATCTGCGCTCGGTGACGCGTTCCTACACCTCTATCCATTAATACGACCAACAGGATCTTCCTAGACTTCAGTAGTACACTTGTGCTGTCAATGTACAACTCCCAAGGCGCTACTCGACCAATTATGGCCTTCAGAGTCAACGAGCATGTAGGGTAGAATGTGCTGGTCATACATCCCGACGGATCGACTACCGAAAGATCCTAGGAGGAAAAAAAACTGTCAGTTACTAATAACTTTCCTTCGGAATCCTCGGATTATTGAAGCACCTGCGAGCGACCAAGCTCGCTCGCCCATCGAATCACTTCCTCTGGAGTTGACCCTAGCCTCTGGCGAGACTTTCCATCTTCTCGGTCTCCATCAAACCCAAAACAGCTGCACACAGCTCCAGTTAACAGATCTCAGGTTAATCGGAACCGGGATGAAAGGATGCATCATCGAGGTCCGACACCGAGGTGTGTCTTGAGAATTTATTCCCACAGTAGTGGCTTGTCACAAGAGTTGATATTATACCAAGAACAATCAGTGCCATCAGTGAAAGATCCTTCATAGCCGTACATGCAAGCATCCGTCACCAGATACCATACATCTTCCTTCAAACCAAAAAGGAGTACGGAACATGGGTTGGCCAGAGCCTCCGATATCGACTGGAGAGATTCTTGAGCAGATTCGGAAAGGCGAATACGTCTCAGAGAATTTCCCCTTTTAGGGCAGTCATCGGCAGTGGTCAATGCATACAAAGCACCGAGCTTGGGACATCAATGGCGAATAAGTTGGGTACACTAAGATTGCTTCCCTAGCAGCTTTAAATCCTCAGTGCCTACCATGTTCGATTGAAGTATGCTGGAGACCTTTAATCTATATTTCTCCCTCTTTTTCTGATCCAAACCGGGCCGAAATCATTCTTGAGATCTAGCCCAAAACCGAGAGTACGAATATCCCCGGAAAGATAAAATACCATATTTTTTACATCGAAACCATCCAATTTTATCGCTTTTTGGCTCTCTGCTTGCTTCACGAAGTACTTGAGTCTGTGCAAAGTTGGCAATGCCAACGTCGTGGACAATTAAATAGTGCTTGCGATCCGTCTCCCTCCTGTGACTGATGACTCGACCCGTGAGCAGACATTGAGTGAGAAAAGGACGCTTTAACCAACCCAATGAGCGGATTGTACGCAGCGCAACTGTACACGCATACACATAGTAGCGTGCGATGCGCGCACAACATAAAGTTATCGGACGAATGGCATGAAATAAGGAAACATTACAGCAGCAATGGAGCTAGCTCAGTAGAATAAGTTAGTAGATTGTGATCCGAGTGTCGCAGGTTCGATGGGCGGTTGCCAGGTAACGGAGTAGAGTAGAAGAGTAGTAGAGAGCTGGATCAAAGCTGTAAAAGCGTGAGACCAGAAAATCTGAAGCCGATTTCAGCTCCTACCCTAACGATTTATCTCAAACTTTCCTAAACGGCTCTATCAGTCCTATAAACCTATAAGCCAACTCCTGGTCTTTGGCAAAACTCTATAACGTCCGCGAATACCTCGTTCGAGAAGCAGCAATGGAGCTCGGTCTAATCAATAGATCTATTGATGCCACTGAAACGATAGCTGCTAATGAACCGACAGTGTTGTTTCGCACCATCTTTATAAGCCGCCCCGATTTCACTTTCTGCCTTTATTCTCTTGGTGTGAAGGTCTTCTAAGAGAACAAGTTCACGGATAGCCGATGGACAGATGAGGGAATTGCAAGAGAAAGCAAGACGTCAAGTCGTTGCAGTGGCAGTGATCAAGTCTGATCACCTTCGGCCCACACACTCAAGCACAAAGGAACTTCCCCAGAGTGTTTGACAATTCCCTTTTAAAACCTTCAAGCACTTCTAGTTAGGCATCAGACGAGACATCTTGGCTGTGACGGAGTTCATTTTTCGCTATCTGAGGTGGGGTCATTCACTCGGGATCTGCACGGTGGCTGATTGGTATGGCCGTGTTCGAGCCCAGGCACTGAATGCGTCACGGACGTGGACTGCATCCCACAACGGGTTCATGAGACTCACCCTCGTCCGTGACATATTGCCAAAACTCCCATCACAGAGCCTCTATCAACTGCGAACGGCATGACGTGAGCGAGACTCCTCCTAAAGAGGATGTCGGAGGACGGCGTAGGACTCTCAAAAGCCCAATCCGCACCAGCGAGTGCCGCTCAATGACCCTAATCACGTGATGTCATCACGAAGACAAGAATGGTGTCGGGAGGATGATGCCACAGGCACTCAAACCCACGAGGAGTCCCACTCGACGGTGTGTCGTCCCTGACCGATGTTATACAACGTCATTACTCACGAGAACATTCCGGAATGAACCACTCAGCAATGATCCCACCTGTATCCCTTTACCTTTACAGATCGCTCTCCTAGAAGCTGCACAAAGGCGGTCTCGACAGTGATCTCCCCGGAGGGTCTACATCCAGGGTTCCTCGGCCAGGAATCTTGCTGTGGATATCATCCAACGGGAACTAAACGTATAAAGCTCTGAGCTAACACCTATTCATAGGGTCTCCGTTCTAGAACGTGACCCCTAAGGTACCCACTCGGTAATCGCCTATGGATTACCCACCATCACCTGGGCTCGCACCTATCCGCGGGGTGTCCGTTCAAAACCGTGTCCCCTAAGGTTGCCAGGAAGAGTCTGCCTGCGGACCCGGTCACACAA